AGAAACAGCTTAGTGAGAAATCATAGGGGGTGATGTTTTCAAATATATTTCAGTCCAGCCTCCTCCTTGAACTGTCACCTTATCGTGGTGGAGGAGTTTGAGTGCCCTAATGATCCTAGGAGCTATGTTGTCTGGGGCACTTTGTGCCCCTGGTAGGGTCTCCCATGACAAATTGGACTTAGGTGAAGGGTGAGACAAAGAACGGTTCACAGGATCTTTCATGGAAGTAAATTCAAAGAGTCGGAGTACCCGGCCCGGAGGGTTACCGGGGTCCCACCCTGGAGCCAGGCCTGGGGTTGGGGCCTGTGAGCGAGCACCTGGTGGCCGGGCTTTTGTCCATGGGGCCCGGCGAGCATGATCATGGTTTGTTAAGTCACCAAGGAACTTCAGAAATTTAGTATCAGGTTTCTCTGGGGGGTAGATTTCAGGAGACTCCTGTGATCTAGAACGGTTCACAGGATCTTTCATGGAAGTAAATTCAAAGAGTCGGAGTACCCGGCCCGGAGGGTTACCGGGGTCCCACCCTGGAGCCAGGCCTGGGGTTGGGGCCTGTGAGCGAGCACCTGGTGGCCGGGCTTTTGTCCATGGGGCCCGGCCGGGCCCAGCCAGAACCGGATACATGGGCTCATCCAACTGTGGACCCACCATCTACAGGAGAAACATGAAGGGTCCGGTGCAATGTGGATCGGGTGGCAGACCAAGGCGGGAGTCTTGGCGGTCCAATCCCCAGACAAGAAAACTGGTCTTTGGGACATGGAATGTCACCTCGCTGGCAGGGAAGGAGGAGCTTGTGGCAGAGGTTGAGCGGTACCGGCTAGATATAGTCTGACTCACCTCGACACATTGCATTGGCTCTGGAACCCAAGTCCTTGAGAGGGGTTGGACACTCTCCTTTGCTGGAGTTGCTCCGGGTGAGAGGAGGAGGGCTGGGTTTGGCTTTTTGTTAGCCCCAGGACTCTGCCTGTGTGTTGGGGTTTACCCCGGGGGGCGAGAGGGTAGCTTCCCTGCGCCTTCGGGTCGGGAAATGGGTCCTGACTGTTGTTTGTGCTCATGGGCCAGATATCAGGTCAGAGTACCCACCCTTTTTGGAGTCCCTGGGACGAGTGCTAGATAGTGCTCCATCAGGGGACTCCATTGTCCTGCTGGGGGACTTCAATGCTCACTTGGGCAATAACAGCTTGACCTGGAGGGGTGTGATTGGGAGGAACGGCCCGCCTGATCCGAACAAGTGGTGTTTCGTTATTGGACTTCAGTGCAAGCTGCAGTTTGGCCATAATGAACACCATGTTCGAACATAAAGATGCCCATTGGTACATTTGGTACCAGGGCAGCCTAGGTCGTAGGTCGATGATAGACTTTGTAGTCATATCATCTGACCTGCGGCTGTATGTTTTGGACAACCGAGTGAAGAGAGGAGCGGAGCTGTCAACTGATCATCACCTGGTGGTGAGTTGGATCAGATGGCAGCGGAAGATGCTGCAGACCTAAAAGCATAGTGAGGGTCTGCTGGGAACACCTGGCAGAAGAACCTGTTAAGACGGTCTTCAACTCCCACCTCCAGCAGAGCTTTGACCGCATCCCAAGAGCAGTGGGGGACATTGACTCCGAGTGGGACTTGTTCCACTCTGCGATTGTTGAGGCGGCTGTTGCTAGCTGTGGTCACAAGGTGGCCGGTGCCAGTCGTGGTGGCAACCCCCGTACCCGCTGGTGGACACCAGAGGTTCGGGGAGCCGTCAGGCTGAAGAAGGAGGCCTACAGGGCGTGGCTGGTCTGTGGGTCTCCGGAGGCAGCAGACAGGTACCGGATAGCCAAGCGGGGTGCAGCAGTGGCAGTTGCCGAGGCAAAATCTCGGGCGTGGGAGGAGTTTGGTGAGGCCATGGAGAAAGACTATCGATCGGCTCCAAAGAGGTTCTGGCAAACTGTCCGGCGCCTCAGGAGAGGAAGGCAGCAACTCGCTCACACTGTTTACAGTGGGGATGGGGAGCTGCTGACGTCAACTGAGGCTATAGTCGGATGGTGGAAGGAATACTATGAGGAGTTCCTCAATCCCACCAATGCGCATTCCGAGGAGGAACCAGAGCCGGGAGACCTGGGGATGGACTGTCCAATCTCGGGGGCAGAAGTTGCTGAGGTAGTCAAACAACTACACAGCGGCGGAGCCCCGGGGGCGGATGAGGTTCGTCCTGGGTATCTCAAGGCTATGGATGTTGTAGGGCTGTCATGGTTGATACGTCTCTGCAACATTGCGTGGTCATTGGGGGCAGTTACTGTGGAGTGGCAGACCGGGGTGGTGGTCACCATCTTTAAGAAGGGTGACCTGAGGGTGTGTTCCAACTATAGGGGGATCACACTCCTCAGCTTCCCTGGAAAGGTCTACTCCAAGGTACTGGAGAGGAGGGTCCGATCAATAGTTGAATCTCAGATAGAGGAGGAGCAATGTGGTTTTCATCCTAGCCGTGGAACTGTGGACCAGCTCTATACCCTTGCAAGGGTGATGGAGGGGGCATGGGAGTTTGCCCAACCAATCCACATCTGTTTTGTGGATTCGGAAAAGGCTTATGACCGTGTCCCCAGGGGCACCCTGTGGGGGACGCTCCAGGAGTATGGGGTGGGTGGCTTTCTGTTAAGGGCCATTCTGTCCCTTTACCAGAGGAGCGTGAGTTTGGTCCGCATAGCCGGTAGTAAGTTGGACCTGTTCCCGGTGAGGGTTGGACTCCGCCAGGGCTGCCCTTTGTCACCGGTTCTGTTCATTACCTTTATGGACAGAATTTCTAGGCGCAGCCATGGTGTGGAGTGTGTCGAGTTTGGTGGCAGGAGAATCTCGTCTCTGCTTTTTGCGGATGATGTGGTCCTCCTAGCCTCATCCAGCTCTGACCTTCAGCTCTTGCTGGGTAGGTTCGCGGCTAAGTGTGAAGCGGCTGGGATGAGGATCAGCACCTCCAAATCTGAGACCATGGTTCTCGACCGGAAAAGGGTGGCTTGACAACTCCGGGTCGGGGGAGAGGTCCTACCTCAAGTGGAGGAGTTTAAGTATCTTTGGGTCTTGTTCACTAGTGAGGGTAGGAGGGATCGGGAGATCGACAGGCGAATTGGTTCAGCATCTGCAGTGATGTGGACGCTGAGCCGATCTGTCGTGGGGAAGAGGGAGCTGAGCCAGAAAGCCAGGCTCTCGATTTACCGGTCGATCTACGTCCCAATCCTCACCTATGGTCATGAGCTTTGGGTAATGACCGAAAGAACGAGATCGCGGATACAAGCGGCCGAAATGAGTTTCCTCCGTAGGGTGGCCGGGCTCAGCCTTAGAGATAGGGTGAGGAGCTCGGACATTCGGGAGGGACTCGGAGTAGAACCGCTGCTCCTCCGAATCGAAAGGAGCCAGTTGAGGTGGTTTGGGCATCTGGTCAGGATGCCTCCTGGACGCCTCCCCGGGGAGGTGTTTCGGGCATGTCCTGCCGGCAGAAGGCCCCCGGGTCGACCCAGGACACGTTGGAAAGGTTACATCTCCAATCTGGTCCGGGAACGCCTTGGGGTCCTGCCGGAGGAGCTGGTGGACAAGGCCGGGGAGAGGACGGCCTGGAGCTCCCTAATTGGGATGCTGCCCCCGCGACCCGGACCCGGATAAGCGGAGGAAGACGAAGACGAAGGCTTCGGCTGTGGGGGGAGGGGGGGGGTGCTCCTCTGTGAGAGCGGGGGGAGGGGGGGGGGGGCACACGTTCCGCTGCTGTTTCTCACAGTATCAGCTGATGGAGGGCTCTAGTTTCGTTGCGCCATTCGTGTCAGCAACTTAGGGTCGGGGAGGGGGGCGGGGCGGGGCATGACGCTTAGCCTGGCGGGTGGCCAAGCAAAGCCTGGCAGGCCGCCAGGCTTATAAAGTGCTGGGGGAAACCCTGTGTCACACAAGGGTGTGATGTCACCCCTCAGCACCGAAAAGGTCAAGTTTTACTGTGAAAGGTCTCAAATCTCCCCATTTCACTTAATCGCCATAAATTTGTAGCTGGTAGCAGAAGAAAAGTAGGGGTTGCTTGACATAGCTTTATGAGAGCTTTCAAAAGAGGGTGAGGCTATGACGGCACGGTGAAGTCAATGATGCATATTAAGATTACCACCAAAGGTGCTTTGCTTACTTGAGGATGACAGTTTAACCCATCAGTGTGGTAATTTAGGAAAACTGCCAACCTCCACCACCAGCCCAAAGCAGAAAATGGGTACAAAATCTCTTTAGAAGCTGGGATTTTTACCCAATGAAAAGAATTACAGACTGTCTCATAGACGGTGAGTTATTGTACGGCCTAGAGGTGACATGGAGAGGAGAGGCTGAGTCAGATTGACATGTGGATCAGGTGACAGCCTGCCGTGTTTGGGTTGAAGGCAATGAGGTGTCTGGGGCGGCTTCAATGAACAGTTTGGTCTTGGCAAATCCATCCTGCTCAGCTGAATCTGCAGAGTTGAAGCTGTTATAATGAATCTGCAAACAGGCTAGGTTTTGAATGCAAACACCGTCAAGGAACACCCACCCTTCCCCTCAGATATCTTCCCTGAAGGAGGAAGGGAAGGGGGTTCTAAAATGCAGCGTAGCTTCCATTGTTGCTAATGTTGCTAATGCTACTCTTGTGTGGCATTCCTACCACTAGCTGTTCACATCATTCTCTGGGTGTATTTTCATTGGTCGATTGCAGAGGGGAGTCAATTATTTTCAAAAATGCTTGAAGACTGCTGGAGGCTGACTTTGATTGTGAGGGTGCTCAAAAAGCTGACGCAGATCCGGTCACACTGGATGGTCACGGATTTGCAAATCATGTTAAGTTCACTATTTTTGTCACGAATCAGTTCACAAAGATGGCTAAAAATGCAGTGTGGTCCCGGCTTTAGACAGCAAAAAGTTTCATGTTTCGCTTAACATCAGTTTCTAACCTAATAAATCTAACCCCATCGCAAACTCAAAATGGACGTTAAATATCAGCAGAACCACAGATCCAGACAAGTGCAATGGATAAACTTACCAAATGCCAGGTTCAGAACCACAGATCCGAGGACAAGCAGACCCAAAAAGACCTCCATCCTTTTGATCTGACAGGATCACACAAATGGAACAGCCTGCTTTAGAACCCACGATAGGAGTTGTCCAGTCTGTTCCTGAGCAGAAATAACAACAAGAGACAGTAATGGACTTAATGAGTTATAAACCAATATCTATCTATCTATCTATCTATCTATCTATATATCTATCTAATCGCTCTCAGACTGCAGGTTTACTGGTGGTTTCTAGAACATCTAAAAATAGGATGGGAGGCAGATTTTTTAGTTATCAGGCCCCTCTGTAACACTTTATATTAATGTTTTGTTATTAAACATTTGTAAGTGTTTAGTAGTCATTAGTAAATCGTTTACAGATCATTTACAAGGTGTTAGATAATGATGTACAAATAATTTATAAAGATTTATGACATTTACAAACACATTTAAAATTATTTAGTATGTCATTAATAAATCATTTATAAGGTGCTGGGATATATATATATATATATATATACACACACACACACACACACACACACACACACACACACACATACACACAATTCACTTTTAGAGGCTGTGATGACATTTACAAACGCCTAAATAATGATTAACTAATAATTTACTAACACTCATTTACACGTTTGATAATGATTATGATGATGCAATAATTTCTGAAGTCATAATGGTCATTGGTAAGATTTTCATATGTAAAATTATGATGCACCATTGATTTATAAATGATTAACTAAATGCTCATGAACACATTTGATAATTGATTTTGAATGCGAAATCATTTAAATGTTGATGAAATGTGCAAAATAAATCCACACAATTATAACAGACCTGCAAACTCGGGAGGTGTGAAAAAGGTGACAACGACTACACCGAAGGGCCTCGAGTGTCTGTTAGTGCTTGTTTTTGTCTTCTTAAACTTTTGCTTTGCAGTGTCTTCCATTGGGAAAGAGAAGGAAACTCATCTGTGGGTAATCCTGTTGTTAAAAAACTATTGGTATCTTGTAGGCGTGGCGCTGGGATTTCAGCCGTGGCCGGCCGCCACGGCAGCGCCTACAGTGGGGCAAGAAAGTATTTAGTGCAAGTTCTCCCACTTAAAATGATGACAGAGGTCAGTAATTTACATCATAGGTACACTTCAACTGTGAGAGACAGAATGTGAAAAAAAATCCATGAATTCACATGGCAGAATTTTTAAAGAATTTATTTGTAAATCAGGGTGGAAAAGAAGTATTTGGTCACTTCAAACAAGGAAAATCTCTGGCTCTCACAGACCTGTAACGTCTTCTTTAAGAAGCTTTTCTGTCCTCCACCTGTATTAATGGCACCTGTTTGAACACATTATCTGTATAAAAGACACCTGTCCACAGCCTCAAACAGTCAGACTCCAAACTCCACTATGGCCAAGACCAAAGAGCTTTCGAAGGACACCAGGAAAAGAATTGTAGACCTGCACCAGATGGGGAAGAGTGAATCTACAATAGGCAAGCAGCTTGGTGTGAAAAAATCAACTGTGGGAGCAATTATCAGAAAATGGAAGACATACAAGACCACTGATAATCTCCCTCGATCTGGGGCTCCACGCAAGATCTCATCCCGTGGGGTCAAAATGATCATGAGAACAGTGAGCAAGAATCCCAGAACCACACGGGGGGACCTGGTGAATGTCCTGCAGAGCTGGGACCACAGTAACAAAGGTCGCCATCAGTAACGCACTACAACGGCAGGGAATCAAATCCTGCAGTGCCAGACGTGTTCCGCTGCTGAAGCCAGTGCATGTCCAGGCCCGTCTGAAGTTTGCCAGAGAGCACATGGATGATACAGCAGAGGATTGGGAGAATGTCATGTGGTCAGATGAAACCAAAGTAGAACTTTTTGGTATAAACTCAACTCGTCGTGTTTGGAGGAAGAAGAAAACTGAGTAGCATCCCAAGAACACCATACCTACTGTGAAGCATGGGGGTGGGAACATCAAGCTTTGGGGCTGTTTTTCTGCTAAGGGGACAGGACGACTGATCCGTGTTAAGGACAGAATGAATGGGGCCATGTATCGTGAGATTCTGAGCCAAAACCTCCTTCCATCAGTGAGAGCTTTGAAGATGAAACGTGGCTGGGTCTTCCAACACGACAATGATCCCAAACACACCGCCCGGGCAACAAAGGAGTGGCTCCATAAGAAGCATTTGAAAGTCCTGGAGTGGCCTAGCCAGTCTCCAGACCTCAACCCCATAGAAAATCTGTGGAGGGAGTTGAAAGTCCGTGTTGCTCGGCGACAGCCCCAAAACATCACTGCTCTCGAGAAGATCTGCATGGAGGAATGGGCCAAAATACCAGCTACTGTGTGTGCAAACCTGGTAAAGACCTATAGTAATCGTTTGACCCCTGTTATTGCCAACAAAGGTTATGTTACAAAGTATTGAGTTGAATTTTTTTATTGACCAAATACTTATTTTCCACCCTGATTTACAAATAAATTCTTTAAAAATCCTGCCGTGTGAATTCATGGATTTTTTTTTTCACATTCTGTCTCTCACAGTTGAAGTGTACCTATGATGAAAATTACTGACCTCTGTCATCATTTTAAGTGGGAGAACTTGCACAATCGGTGGCTGACTAAATACTTTTTTGCCCCACTGTATGTAAGGGAAACACTGCAAGATGATAACTTATCAAACAACTTTTAATTAACTTTAAAACAGTCTTTTTTGCAACACAAGGCTCTTATTCACAGTCAGAAAAAGTTAGCTTTTTGACCTGAGTAACTGTTAATGTTATCAGCTAACAAGAGGTAATTAGCTTACAGAGGCGACTCTTCGTTCTCCGCCATGACGCCGATATACTCCTGTGAAAGTTTCACTTTGCAGATTTTGAACTCGACGTGTTTCTCATTTGTCTTTGTAACATGCTCCTAAACCTCTGAGCTACGTTTCCGGCACCCCGAGATGACTTGTTTCTCTGGTGATTCTGATTCGGAGGCTGATCTGAATGGCTGCTAATGTGCAAGAAGCTGACCACAGTTTCACACTGCAAGCATCAGCGGAGCGGCTCACTCGCAAACTTCAAGGCAGTCCTCTTCACACCGGGAGAGTCTTGGCCGCGGCACGGCTTCCTCGCTGTACCCGCGAGACTCTAAAATCCCTCGAGACTTCCGACACTTTCCTCATCGAGAGATCACAAGCCCCGCTAGGAATCCCACCGTTGCACTTCTCAAAAGAAACTGGTGTTAAACGAAGCCGGTCGGTCACACATGCTGACGTAAGTTATATATAACATCGCAACGTTGCATTTTATTTAGAAACTTACCGGGGATTTTACACTGAAACCGTGTGGTTTCCTGTCTCGCACTATGTGAACTGCGGAAATTTACGTGTCCCAGAAGCAGCTCGCGGATAAATAGAACTCGATTCTATCTTTAGCGGCGCGGCATGCTGCTTCTGGGACGCGCCTGGAACCTGCTGCTTCGCGACTGGTTTGAAACACTCCATGGACTATAACTGGATTCTGTTTGAAGCGGTGCCGCGTCGCTGCCGTTCCGTTCCGCTGATGCTTGCAGTGTGAATCCGGGGTTAAGCAGAAAGGCAGAAGCAGCAGAAGGTGCTGCATCAGGCGAGCTCAATGCTCCTAGAATAAACGAGGCGTCCACTATAGGGATTGTGATCACACGTGATTAGGCACAGCATTCTGGGATGTGCGCAGACATGTTGGCAGCTTGACAAGAGTAAACAAACTGTGAAAATGATGGTACTGTTGCAGAGAAGAAGCTAATTTGGGTGAGAAAAGTGTTAAACAACATTATAAAATCCCAAAACGGATGCAGAATACACAGGGATACGTTAAATAAAGACATTGGGGACCGGGATGTGGACAAAATCAGCGTCATAAATGGTTTTGATCCATATCCAAGACCAGAGCACAGATGACATATTGTTTATGTTTAAAAAACGTACACCATCTGTAACTTACCAGAATGAAAATACTCCAGAAGATGATGTTTGGTCGCCTTACAGCAGCTATCCGACAAGAAGTTGTTATGCTACAAACTTGGTTTTGCCTCCGAGCAGGAAAACAGTGAAAAGTTAGCTTGTCTTCCACCTTTATTCTCCTACTGATCACGTGTGTCACCCCACAACACACCAACGATTTACTAGAGTTGTGTAGTAGAACCGATCAACTGAATAATAGACTGTTTAGGTCGCAAGAACGAGACTGGGTTGTTTACAAGGATTCACACGCCTCCAACAGGGCGGCTGCGTGGGTGTTGTCACCATCACAAGCCCTTTAAAATTTATTGTTGACTATTTTGTTTGCAGACGTCATTGTGACGTGTCGACTCATCGTGGCAGCACTAATGATAAAAATTTACCTTCTTTGACGTGAAATGTGCTACCACTAGTTCCCTGTAGAGTTAATTATAGATTCAGGATCAAGTTTATCGCTTACTAAACATAATATTTACCAAGAAATCACTGTGTGTGCGCGCGCGCGCGCAGCCTATTGACTTCCCCTGTGTGAGGCAGGACACCTGGGCTGTTGGTGCTGCTCAGACCCACTGTGGACTCAGAACCGGGTCGGACCTGTACAACTGACCCTAACAGACAGTAGGGCGTTGGTTAAACCGGTAAACACAAACACTGGGCCACTGCAGAACATTTAGATGAAAGAGAGAGGTGTGGACCATGCTGTCGCATTAAGAAGGGCTCCCGACCAGAGCTTGTCCAGGTCCGAACCGAACCGGTCCGCTGCTCTTGGCCATCAGAAGTAGAAGATGAGGTGTTTTACCTGCTGCTGGTGCCGAGCCGCTCGTTCCTCGCTCACACACTCGTCCTCTCTCTCACTAGATCAGCGGCTCTCATCCTTTCTTTCTTTGACTCGCCTTCTGCTCTCGCCTCACCATCAAGCCCGCGTGAACACGAGAACTGCTTCCGGTCAGGTTAGACTAATCTCCACTGTTAAAAAACAAAACCCCGTCTCTGGTGCTTTAGAGGGCCTGCTGCACATCATTTACAATATTTATTCTCTTGTTTCTTGTTAGCATTATGTTACAGGCGCTGCTTATATTCACACCAATGACTTTATACTGAAAGTAAGTTGAGGGACTTCCGGTAACTGTCCCGCTTGACCCGGCTCTTGCGTCTGTTAGCGGTTCGGCATCATTTATTCACCGGTGGACGGGTCGGGGCGCGGCTTGGGCGGAGTTTGGGCTTGATTCTGGTCGCTCAGAACCATGACTGGTATAAACATTTGGGCTAGTTTCATCAAAACCCCTGAAGTGAATTATTAAAGTGATGAAATCTGATGACGGGTTCTGCAGCACCGTGCAGGTGGTTCTGGTGGTCTTTCATCCCAGGCATCTCCTCCTGGAGGAGAGAGCTTTCCGCTCCTCCTTTGTCCTCACCGGAAGGTGGCAGGTGGCGTCTCCCTCCTCACCCCTACTCCCAGGGGTAAGGAGGAGAAGAGGGGCCTTCTGGTTCCCCGCGCAGGAAACGGGACTGTGTGACTGAATCAGTCATGAAAACACGCAACATGCGGGGTAGTGTTAATCACTCAGTGATTATAAATGAGTGTAGTGATGTTTTCAGCCCGATGAGATATTTTTCTCCTGGTCCGTGACAGGTTTTACTCTAAAAACAAGATTGTTTTTGAGTCTGTCACGGCTACGTGTTTTTCTGGATTGTGACAAATAGTTTAAAGCATTTCAGGGATGCGCCGAAAATTCGACCACCAAACATTTTCGGACGAAATTGACCCAAAAGTGCATTTTCGTTAGAAACGACATGGCTGAAACAGGTCATCAGGTGAAACCATCTCGCTTGCTTCGCTTTCATCTGGGAACTTGTTGTTTGCTTCATAAAAACAGTACATTCATTCTGATTTGTTTTTCCCTTTTAGCCAGGCGTAACAGAGATGAAAACGTGAATTTCACCAAAAGTGATGTGCAGTGATTGTTTGTGTTTTTAGAGCCGCCTACTGGTGGTTAGGCGCAACTGCATGCAACGGATCCTTCAGGCGCGTCCACGCCCCCCCCCCCCCCCCCCCCAATTTTTTATCTTAACTGTATTTCAATCTTCGTTTTCACATACATTCAGTTTAAAATGTAACCTGCATTCAGCATACTGAAGAATAAAGCAAATACAGACGACCTCACTTGAGGAAAATAAAAATTACATTTAGAACTTGCAACAATTACCACATGACACTATACCATAAAATTAATTATGATGCAAAATAATAATAAAATAAATATAAAATATCATCAAAAATAAAATAAAATGTTCAGAGGTTGATATTTCAGCATTATATTTCAAACATGTTTGATTCATTGGACTGTAATTTAAAGAAAAAGAAACTCAGATATTGTTTCGTACAACTCAGTTACAGATTGGTTATTTTCTGATAATACTTTTAGAGATGTTATAAATAGTTTTATTTCATTTTTGAAATGGTTAATGTTGGGCTTGCTGTTTTTCCATTTAGTTTTATGTATATGGTATTTTCCCATGATGAAAATAATGTTCACCAGTTTGGATATCTTTTTTGGCAGAGCATCACTTTAGATTTGTTAAGCCATACATCATTTCTCTCAATATTTAACAATCGATAAACATCCTCCCAAAAACCAGTTGTTACTGAACACGAGAAGAAAAGGTGCTCAATAGTTTCACATTCTGTCATACAAAAGACACACTGGTTCACTTCAAAATTTAATCTTTTTCTTAATGTTTCGGCAGCACGATTGATATTATGTATTATTTTGAATTGAATTTCTTTCAGCTTGGGTGCTATTGGCCATTTAAGATAGCTGCAATATGGCTTTTGTGGTTTCCTTTCCTGTGATTTTTACTTTCGTTGATTTGTCAGTATCATAGAATAACTATTTTTAACATACTTCCAAGTACTTTGTTATTACATTTTTGTTCACCTAATTTAAATTTGCCTAATTTCAACTCAGGAAGTTTAATCACCACATCTGAATTAAGCAAGTTATTTTTAATCATGAATTTTAAGGGAAGTGGAATAGCTCTACTGATTTGATTAAACTCTCTAACAGAGCATTTAAAATTAAACTTTTCGACAAAACATTCAAATTGTAACAAATTGCCATTTTTATCCATCAAATCCGTCACATATAAAATCTTTTTGTCATACCATTCTTTTTTAAATAGTCTTCCTATTAATTACAATGGCTCTAATATTCCACAAGGTGGAGCTGTGCGGTGTAAAGTTGTGGCTGAATATCATTTTCCAGTAGAGCAGTATTTGTTTATGGAAGTCAGATAGTTTGATTGGTAATTTAGATATTTAAAAGTCACATTTCAACAGGAATTCTAATCCTCCAACCTTACGGAAAATATATTTTGGTATGTGGAACCATATAGAATGTGGTTGTCTTAAAAAAGCTTTTATCCAGTTTAGCTTAAGTACACCAATCATGGCTTCAAAATCAGCAGCCTTTAGTCCACCATGTTCGTAGTCTTTAACCGTCACAGACTTTTTAAGGTAGTGTGTCTTGTTCTTCCATATAAAATGAAAAAAGATCAAGTTAACTTTTTTTATCAATTGGGGGGGAACATAAAGAGACTGACAAGGATAGATTAATTTTGATAAGCCCTCTGCTTTTGTTAACAAGATTCTGCCAATGATAGAAAGATCTCTCACGAGCCAGTGGTTGAGAGATCTTGTCATACCATCTATTTTTTTCTTTATGTTTAGTTCTTCATTCTTATTCCTGTCTTTGGACAATATTAAACCTGGGTATTGTACTTCAGTTTTGACAGGAATGGAGCCTATGTTTGTCTCAGCGCATGGATGAAGAGATAGTATTTCACATTTTTTTAAGTTCAGACATAATCCTGAGGCTTTAGAAAAGATTGATATTATATCTAATGCTTTTTCAATTAATGATTTGTCTTTTAAGAAGATTACTGTGTCATCTGCAAATTGACTTATTTTAAATTCATAATCAAACATAGTGATTCCTTTTATTTGAGGGTGGTTAATTTTGGCGAAATAGGGCAACCTTGTCTAATACCACGTGAAATCTTAATTGTTGGTGTTATCCCTGGGTTGAGCGAGATGTAACTATGGAAATCATTATAAAACATTTTTATAATCTTACAGAAACCTTTTCCAAATGCGAGTTTTTTAAGCACTGTGAACATAAATTCATGTCCCACTGTGTCAAAGGCTTTAAAAAAGTCTAGGAACAGTACGAGGTTATCTGGATGTGTGAACGAACGGTAATCAATCATATCTAATATCAGTCGAATGTGTTTTTGGATATATCTTCCCTTAATAAAGGCTGATTGGTACTCTCCGATAAGTTTTCCAATTACACGCTTTAAACGATTTGCATACACTAAAGCCAGAAGTTTATAATCGTTACATAATAAGGTTATAGGTCTCCAGTTATCTAGTTTCAGTGGGTCTTTGTGTGGTTTTGGTAGTTGGTTATTAATCCTGTTTTCATAGTGGGGGACAAACATCCTGTTTTAATACATTCCATAAACGCGTTATATAGCAGCTTTTTTATGTCTGCCCAAAAATGTTTTAGAAATTCAGTTGTTAACCCATCTATCCCTGGTGATTTATCATCTTTCATTTGTTTTAATGCATTTTCAATTTCTATTTCAGATAAATCTTCTTCCAGTATATGCTTATCTTCAATGTCCACATTTATTAGATCTTCATCAATTATTTCAAATAGAAGGTCACAGTCTGATTTGTTGGATTTTGATTTATATAAGTGGCAGAAGAAGAAAAAGATTTCTTCTTGGATTAAGTTCTGGTCCTCAATTATGTTATCATTTGTCCCAAATTTACTCATTTTTTTCAGTTTGTCTTTGTTTTTCAAGTCCAAAGAAATACGTTGAACTCTTTTCACCCTTTTCAATCCATCTAGCTCGTGATCGAACATATGCTCCATTTGCCTTTTTTTATATACATGTCATCTAATTGGGATTGCAGGGACTTTAATTTAGTACCATTATCTGAGGATAGTTGTGTACTACTTGTTATTGAATTAATTTCATCAATTAGATCTTTTTGTTTTCTTTTTCTTAAACTTGCCAATTGTTTTCCTTTGTCTATTGCTATTTGTTTGGCTTTAAACTTGAACCATTCCCATTTACTGGCACAGTTCATATCCAGCTTTTTAACCTCGGATATAAGAGATTTATTCTGATTTTCAAAAATCATCGTTTTGTAGTAGATCATTATTGAACTTCCATATAGGGGTAGACTTAAATTGTTGCTTAGATGTTCTAATATCGAGACTGATCATGCAATGGTCCGTTAGCGGGGAGGCTGTTATTTTACAATCTGAAATGTCATCGCATATCTCAGGTGATATCAGCCAGTAATCTAATCTTGAACACTGACCATTTTCTGCCGAATTATACCATGTATACTGAACTGATGTTGGGTTTGTGTTCTCCAATAATCAATAATATGCGTTTTTGTGCATAAGGATAGTATAGTGTCACTCTGAATAGGTTGGGAATTTCTATGAGGCATTCGATCTAACCACGAATCTGGGGCTATATTATGGTCCCCTCCCAATATTACGTTCTCTGTATTATACGTTACTTTCCATTCATTTATTTTTTGGCTTAGGTTTGAATAGAAGTTTTCATTAATTCTTGGTTGTTATATTTAGACACGTGTATGGATATAACGTTTATCATTCCACTCCACTAACACCATTAACCAGTGGCCTTCAATGTCTCCTTGTGATCAATTATGTTGCCTGAAAATCTATTGAATAAAATCATGACTCCTGCTGAGTGTGATGTTCCATGTGCAAAGAAGGCGTAACCTCACATTTTAAACAAGTTGGAAGTGAAAAGGCTGTGTTTCAGTCGGCTGATTTAAACCTTAAAAGGCTTGTAATTTAATTAAACGCTTTCCATCAACAAGTATTACAGGCTATTATAGGAAATGATATACAAACATGTTTTAGTCCTCACAATACCCCTACATATTAAAGAGCAAGTCACCCCCAAATCAACAATTTTTTTCTGATAAACTATATAAATGCGTGTCTAATCGTGCTGCAGACACGTGTAGTCAATAG